TGCATTCTGGAGCAATGCCGTCTACGATCTTCGCAATCCTTTGGGGTCTTGGCAGATGCTTGCATCAATCATCTTCGGACTTCCCTGTGTTGCAGTAGCCGCCATACTGGAGACTATCAAGTCACTTGGTTCCTCTATGTATGCTTTTGCTTCATGGGCCCTGCATGCGACCAATGGTCCGTCATTGTTCTGGGCTCTTGGCATTAGTGGAAGAGATCTCCTCCCTTTAAGTCGTCAGCGTAAGTGGAAGAACGTGGAAGTACAGCTTTCGAAGATCTTCTGCGACCTGCTGCGAATTGAGGTAGCTATAGATGTTGAAGCATCGAGGCTTCCTGTGTCCCTGAGCTTCGAACCTCTGAGGCTCAAGGAGTTTCTGGCATCTTCCCCCGAGTACTTCAAAGTCGAGTCTGGCTGCTTGCCTCAACTTGTCTCATGTCACACTCATGTCGCAATTGGCTGCTGTTCGGCTTCCTGCACATCTCGGACATTCAGGGCCTCTCTGTTAACTACACAAGATAAGCTCACAGTTGCCGGTGTTTTCAGGCCTGGTGTTGTTAATCGAGCAGGCTGCATCACCCTGCGGGCGCCTCTGCCTGCTGCACCCTCCGCGTCAGGCACGGGATCTGCAAAAACTCGGTCCCTGAGGAAGTTTGAGCTTCAGCGGGGTCTGAGAAGTACTGCGTTTGGTGCCAACTTGACACTTACTGCGGTTTGGGCCGCACGAAGCTCCACGGTGCACTAAATGTACACCACCAAGCTTTCCTCACCCTCTTTCTTCGGCATTCTTCTAGCATCAAGATCTTTTCAGCTGCAGGTGAACTGAACCGGCGCTACCTGCAGCTGGAGAGCCAGATCGCCAATGGCACGCTGGTCAAGGTCCCTGGCCAGCATATCGCAGTCCGCCGCCACTAGGATGCAACAGTCTCGGTCTCGCTGCAAGATTGCCCCGCTTGGAGGATGCGGCCGCTGCTCTTCAGAAAGTTGTCCAGTCTGCCCAAGGCCGGCTGCAAAGGGGCATCGGATGTCCGATATAAGACCTGTTGTCAAGACAGGCAGTTCTCTTACGGTGGGCCGTGCTATCTTCCTGGGCTCTGTGGGCCGCGGCACGGCCATTGACGGCAATGCAGATGCCCAGGCGAGGGCACTTCAAGAGATAGCAAGACACTGACATTGACATACTTGCCATGGCAGCCACCCGCAGCACTTCTGACATCGCGTGGATGTCGCATCGGTCTTGAGGCTTTGCTGCTGCTCAAGGGCATGCCGTCTGCAGAGCGTCCGGAGCTCATTTGTCACCAATCATGCGGTTGAAGGCCGGAAGAGGACGAGGAAGTTTGTGGATGGATGCAGCACAGAAAGCAACCTTACCGTGCCCTCAGCCACCAAGGCCAGAAGTGGTCACCACCTTTGCTGAGTTCATTGGCTGCGTCTCTGAGCCAGGACTGCTGGACATCGCTGGACTGTGACCTGCTTGCTGTAGGTTCTCAAAGCAAAACCACGAGGATCCAGAATCATCGATCAAAAAAGCCCCAAGGCTGTTTTTGAAGCCCAGGACCTAGGAGATCAAGCACAAGTCTCGGTCGGCAGCTGAGGATACTGAGTTGACAAGCCGGCGTCCATGCGCACTCTGCACATCTACGCACATGCATGCTTTGGAGGTCACAGATGATGCCGTCCACGTCCACCTTGCAGGCCAGACTGCACGAGGGGGGACGCCCCAATCCCGCGCCTTCTTCATTTCGCTCGCTGCTGCTTCCTGTGGCTTTGCAGGAGTTTCGGTGGAAGTGGTGTTGGATGCCATTGGAGGCTCGATTTTTGAATATAGAGCATCTGGGAAGTGATTGCACCTTTCGGGTAAGAGTAGTACAGGGCATTCTGTGAGCCCAATTGTGGAGGCCCCCTGGCCCTGGCCGCTGACCGCAGTGCCCGGCTCTTTGACAAGCTTCCGCCTGCAGTGCCTTGGAGAAGCTTGAGGGGATAAACAACAAGATATGTTTTGAGATTTGTGTTTTGGATGCTCTAGGCTCGAAGACTTGCTTCCTGGCATGCTTTTAGGACGCTTAAATCGGAAGAATGACCCTGAGGTGAAAGTTACCATGCGCCTCATGCCACCTGGATGCAGACACTGGAGGGCTCAGCAGAGTAGAACGTCTCACCGACCCCAGGAAATGGTGGCGCAATCAGCAGCCGTGGTCGAGTGACTTGGAACAAGACCGGTTAATACACACGGACATACACGTATACATATATATATATACTTATATATGTATACACACGTATATATATATATAGGTATATACAATATACATATACATAGACTTACATGCAGACAGTACATAGGTACACACACACATACACGTACAAGGCGGGTTGTCGCTAGTTCTGGCTTGATGCATTTTGACAGTGTGCTTAGCCACTGGAGTCAAAGGACATCTCGAAAGCACGGGCTTCTTCACATCCTTGCCAGATCATGCCGACAATGCCGACACAACTTCCTCAGTAAGAGCTCAGGATTCATAGTTGGCTAATTCTTGCATCGCGTCTTGATCTGCGGTGGGGTCTACAGCTGGGCGAGCAGAGGGTGCGACGACATGGCGCGCGTAAATGAAGCCGGCATAAGGCGATGAGGAGCGCCCATCTGACCTCCTCCTGGAGCACATCATCGCCTCAACGGCTTCGCCTGCGCCTGCGGACCAGGTGACTTGACGGATCTTGAAGGAATTCTTCGGAGGAATTCTTGGGGTTTTTATGTCCTTTGGGGCAGCTGTGCTCATGGGTCCAGTTTGTTCGTGAGAGTGGGGAGGAGGAGCTGGTGCCAGATCTGTAGCTCAGCAGCCAAGAAGCTAAAACAAGGGATCCACTTTCGGGAAAAAACCAGGAAATGTTGTAGCAATTTGCCGGGAAAATGAAGTCGCCGATACAGCTTCTACAAGACAGTCATGGTTTCTTGCTGGTATGTACCGACTTGATGGCGAAACCTTGCCACGGCCTTCTCCGCTGTGTTTCTGGAGTTCTGTGTGCAGTGGATGCCATGCAAAGATGGAGGAATAGCGCCCTTTCAAGAAATTGCACGCTCGTCGAGCAAGCAAGGTTAGGAAGCTGGGAGTTGCGCGACTCAGGGAAAAACAGTGTCAGATATACTCTCCGCACGCTCAATACTGGCAACACCCGGCAGCCCATTGAATCTCAACTGCACCTTTCGACTTAAACCTCTGCTTCAAAGCATAGCCAAGCGAGCAAACAGCAAAACCCCATAGGGCGTTGGGGATTTCGAAAGTACCTAGGGGCATCCCAGTTGTTTCTGCGCAGTCTGAACAACCAAGTTGCCCAGCACGTTGCAATGTACCGTGCCTGTACTGGCCTTGCAAGGTTGGAATTTTTGGAAGACGTGGGCCCTAAAAAAAAGGGGTGTGGGGTCTGGACCTTTCCTTGCTGGGATGGGTGCGCCTTTTCGGGACCCATTCTTGGGAATGGGCCTGAGGCTTCGCATCAGTCTCCTGATGCCAAACATGCATCCAGACGAACTCCTGCTTGCAAGAGCTGCATCAGCATGCAGCCACGTCCCGCCCCAGCCTCTGCAATGCTTTGCTTGCCAAAAAGCTTTTCCCAGCTGGTTCAGAATGGACAATCAGCAAGCCAACATCCAACTCAAAACCAATGCCTTTGCTTGCGAGCGGGCCAGCAGGCATCAGAGCAACTTGGTAGGTGAAGATCTCTAGCGTGCACTCGGAATGAACGACTGAGCGATCCCCCGCGATAGGTACTATTATACTTCACTGTAACACGACGATGATTATCCCACTGCTTTTTGGGTGCCTCGGGTTATCGTCCAGAGTTGCACCTCCCCCTTTGCAGGTGGCTGCCATCTCTTCGGCCTTAGCTGCCTTGGCATCCTTCGAGCAGCTCAAAGTTGCCTGGCCGAGTGATCCATGTTGCACTCGTGTCTTTGTCTCAGAACAGCATTGTGGGGCGTCAGTGCCGGCGTTAATTAAGATGCGAACGGGCTTGCTTTGCAGGGAGCTGCTACGACAGTTTTGGAACGTCTTGTTTGGACTTTTCACACACGCGGAGCTTCAACGCATGATCTTGGCTGATGAGGACTGTTCCGCGAGTCAGCTAGCTTTTCTCCCGGCCAAGGTGGTGGACCCCTTGGATCCCTCCGTGAAGCTTGGTGATTCCAAGAATTTCAAGTACCAGCAGCTTGTACAGCCCCTGAGCTGACCCAAGACATCCAAGACATGTTCAGCTGTTGTTTCCCTGCTGAGTTTTCCACCTTCGCCGTGCTAACCTTGGCAACTTAAACGCTTGTCGGATGGTGTTCCTCAGGTTGGCCACGAAGCAGCCAGGCGGCAAAATATCGAACCATTGCCCATAGCCAGCTCCCGGCACCCGGCTTTCAGGCTTGTCTTGTACCGAGAAGCTGCGTCCAAGGTCTGCAGGTCGCTTGCTGCAGTGACCCGCGCGCCGCCCTCCCCCAAGCCTCTTCAAGCCGGAGGGAAGCTCTACATGATCTTAGATGGCTGCTGATTAACGTCACAGCAAGTGGGAAAAGAACTTACTTCCTGCAGCTTGATGTGAACAGGGTTTTGCTGTGGTAGATTCGGCCCGTCCGAGAGTGTAGTTTCAGACACGAACCAATGAATGCCATCAGAAGCCCAGCAGAATTTTGAACCTCAACCGCCACAGCATGTCACGCTTTGTGGGAAGCAATTGCAGTATCTGCGGCATGCCGCGCTTTTCATAGGGCGGTAGTTCCAACCCCCCCGGCCCGCCTCATGCTCGGTGGGTCGGGGAATGAATGCCTGCTCAAGCGCGAACGCAGAAGCAGAAGTTTGTTTCACTGGCTCGGTTTTGGGGAAGGTAGGATGCTATCAGGGTTGATCCTTGAACTCAGGGAATGGCAATGTTTTGATGCTTGGGGAGATGCTGTGGATCGCCCTTCAACACTTGCTGCCACCGTTGAGAGCCAGTGAAGAACTCACATACGAGTTGTGGTGCAGGCAGCAATGGTCACAACGGCACGTGGCTCCAATTCTAGGTCTTCCGAGACTTGCTTGAGACAACGGGTCTTCAGGGCATGAAGTCGGCAGATGCTGGGAGAATAACTGGTCTGATACTTTGCCGAGTGTCTCCCCCTGTTTGTGTCTGTGTTTGTGCTTTGTTCACTTTCGTGCGCTGTTGGCATCAGAGCTTAGGATGCGGGGCAAGACCCACATCGCGAGAGAGCTGAAGCGGTACATTGAGTGACGCGGCAGCTTTGGGTTTGATCATCTCAACTTTTCTATCTTCAGACTCCGGTACGAAAGGCGTGAGGTGGGTTCTTGTGTGTAAAGGGAGCGTTTCATCTTTGAGCTGTAGGGAGAGCTTGCTGCTATGTACCCTTGCAGCGGTCGGTGTGGTTAGGCAGCCTTGTGATGGGATTTCGGGCTGGGAGTCACGCCTCAATCGCATACTCAAGCAACAAACCGTTTGCGCCACGTAGTGCAGTTTACGGAGCATGGCAGCCGCTCGTAAGCTTGGCATCCATGATGTGGCAGGTTCTTCCACGGTGCTCGTGCAGAGATCTTCTCCGTCACAGAGCACCTGGGCTGTCTCTTCAAGGGTCCCGGCATACAACCGCTTGTCCGTTTGTCATTGAGGTAACAGGGCGAATGGGGCACAATGTGGGTACAAAATGTGGGTACAAGATGGAGCTTGTCCTGGTCGACAAGGTACGTGGGCCCGGATGGTGAGGACAGGCTGTACGAAGCCTTAAATAGCCCCTCGGCTCATGAAAGGCTCATGTAGTGTGCCGCTGCCAAGTGGAAGTTCTTGCTCAGGCTTCTTCGATGTCACCAACTCGTGCCTCGACATGTCAAGAAAGATGGAGTTTGAATCTGGGTGCCTGTTGTTAGTGCTACATGGCCCTGGGTTCCTTGCTCTGATGGTTCTGGGCTCCCAACATCTGAGAGAGATGTGCAGAGTTGGGACACAGAGAGCTCATCATGTTGCCGGCCTTGCACTTTTCGTGAGGGTGCATCGGCGCAGCGTGAGTGTAAGGCCCATGGCAGACCCATACGATTTCGATCAGTGCCTCAGCTTGTAGATCGGCCCTCTTGCCGACACAGATTGTTCTTGACTGTTTGTTGTATTGCAAAGCGTGCGAGCCCATGTCTGGGTCGTTTGATTCGACCATCTGCGACATCTTTTTTTGCTGGCGAAGTCTATAGTATGCATAGAATTCCATATTGCACTCGATATGCTAACGCATTATATGCGTGCTGTGTTTACTATGAATATCGGATACAGTATATCATACATCCTCAAGTCAAGGTGTGGAGTTGAAGGCTCAGGCGGCTTTGCCATCATTCTCTCCAGTGACACTGTCGAGTCTACGAAGTCCATGTGGAGACATGGCCCGCAAATATCAGGGCGGGTCTGGCAGGATTCTGGTGTAACAGGCCAGAAAATCGCATGGCACTTGCTGAACATCCGCAGACATGCAGTTCTACATGTGCATCCATGGCTGGCATAGCCACATACTCATGCACATACATAGGGTATGTGTTGTATCTTTACCTCAGAACGATGAACAATCCAGCCTCAAAACCATATGGTGCCTCGCGCACGTAAGGAGTGCCCACACGAAGTGGCATCGGAAGTGGATGGAGCCTTGCTCAGTGCAGCGAATGCTGCTTTTGCAGCGTCATATTTGTACAATTATATATCTATATGTGGTTGTATATTATGGTTCACCCCAAGATACATGTATATATATATATAGGTATGTATATATATATATATATATATATATATATATGCACTAATATGTACACGTGCCCCTCAAAAGGCGCGGAAGCTCGAGGATGAGATGCAGGCGGAGGCCCTGCCTGTTGCTGTGCTCGATTTGCGCCACACAAGATTTGGGCCCTTGATGAGTCGAGCAGAGCTCTCAGGCTGTTGGGGTTTAGGGTTTAGGGTTTAGGGTTTAGGGTGGGTGTAAATTGGATGTGGCTTTCGGTGTTGCAGCTCTCGGGGAGGTCTGCTTCATCCAAATCTCGGTAGACAGTCCGAAAGGCTGCTCGGCTTCATTCTTCAGCAAGATGATGAGCATGAGCCATGAGAACAGACAGCTTGCATGAAACAGCTCAAAATACGTATGGGAGCAGGTCTTAGGTAATGAAGATTCTGCCCTTATGTAAGAACTTGCATGGGCCTCCTTGATGCGAGCCGGCCGCTGTCAAAGGCGAGAAGTACTTGTCGGACCTTGCGGCCTACCGGGGCATGACTCTAGAGGAGACCAGGAACGTGATCGACGAGTACCAGGACTCTGATTTGGTCAGCCAAGACATGCCAAAACCAAATAATGGTATCAAAGTACGCTACCCACTACAGCTTACTGTGATTGGTGTTTGGCTGTAGGCTCATCAGGAGCAGAATGAACAGGTTCCTGCGATCAAAGGCCAACAACTTGGGCTTGCAAGACTTGGTCATGCCAGGACCACTACGTGCCCATCCAGATGGACCAGTCTGAAGACCAGACTCCCTACATCCACCTCATGACCCTTGGGAGATGAATGCAAAACAGCAGAGGTGTTTTTGCGCTTACTCAAGTACCTGGAAAGCTTTGTGTGTGACAAGTAATGCTTTCATAACTTCTGAGACAAGGCTGTGCAAGTACTAGGCCAGACACCTTCATTCTCGGTACGCGCGTGTTGATCAGCACGAGTCGCTCGACCGATGCTGACCTAGACACTTAGCACGGGTCACCTGAAGCAGGAACTACAACCAGAAGATGGCGACTTGGCAGATCACGGTTGCTGACAGAGCTGCCAGCAGAATCTAGACAGCTTCAATTTCGCAGTTAATATGGACTCTGGAAGATGCGCGTGCAAAATGATTCTCTTAGATCGGCGTAGCTTGAAGCTCTGGTCTTCGTGTCCCGTAAACAGCACAGCTCATTGTTTCAGGTCGTGAACAAAATGATGCGGTCCTTTGTTGGATCGCAGGTTTGCTGCTCGCCCGCAGAGTGCCATTTGCAGGTTTTCTATTGCGTTCTGCATTCTTCAGAGTTGTCGATGGTTTGCGTTCCCGGCCCTTGGGGCTCTATTTTTACCACAAACAAGGCCACTTCCTGTCGAACTTGCATCCATTTGAGCACACGGTCTATCTTGCCAGACACGGGGAGAGCCCTTTGTCCGCAGCAATGGGTGGCCAAGATTATCCTTGCAGCTGGCTAAGTTTTGCCGCTTGGGTTTTTCAGGTATGACGCAAGCTTCAGAATTCATAGGCTGTAATGGTGTGGTCAATAAGGGGACGGTTTGTAGTTCGGAGCTAGCAAGTAGTTGGGAAGTAGATAGTGGGTCGTGGACAGTCGACGTCGTCATTGTTATAGTGGCAGTGGCAGTGGGGTAGTTGAAGTGTTTCAACGCATGTCGTTGCTTTTGGTGTCCATTTCTGGGGCATGTTTGGCCACAAATCTTGAACCCTGAGCCTTTGTATGCTGCTGCGGAGCTTAACATGTTGCGTCGGGCACGTTTTCCGACAAAAAAGCCAGCCTATTGCCCTAGCAAGGAACTCTGCTCACTGCATTTGGACGGCCGAGAGTGGGCTCCAGCTATTTACAACTAGTTCTTTGAAATGCGGGGCAAGCCCAGATCCAAAAGCCGAAACCCTACAAGCACTGCAAGTCTTGAATCTGATTGTAGGGTGTCCTCAGCTTTAGGATAGCTGCAAGCCAAACCCCACGCGAAAAAACTTGGGATCAAACTAATCAAACAAATGGCTGGAACTTCGAGCCGACAGCGTTTGTCACTCCAAACGCAGATGGTAGTGGTAGCAGCTTCAGAAGCAGAAGCCGAGGTGAGTTCAACGTCGAAATGCGCATTGGCGGCGACTCCGGGCTCTCTCGCAGGGGTGAAGAGTTTGCACGACGAACGGCCGAGTTTGCCACTTGGATGTCATAGACATGGAATGTGCATCGTTGTTGATGACGGGCCTTGGCCCATTTCTTCGCCGAGCCACCTGTGCATGCTTGCATGATCTTGCATGTCGTTTGCTGGCCTATCCTCAGGCTGCTGTGAAAGAATTTGCTCAAGGGTTGCGCGTGATCTTGTGATGTAGTTTTCTGTCATTTACGCAGAGAAGTGTGGCTCCCGTGAGAGAGTTTCAATGTTGAGGTGAAGTATGTGGATGCTTGGATGCAGTTCACCAGTATTTCGCTTTGTGATGGAACGTGCAGGTCAAAGCGTTTAATCCAGCGTTCTTCGCTTTGGAACATATCCTGCCCACAGTCCAAAGCCAGACCCAGCGATGCTGCAAAGGTCTGTGGCCACGCAGATGACTTGGTGTGCGTCACCCTGACTTCCAAAGCAGCGCAAGCCCCAGACGGTGTTTTCGCGCCCATGTCATGAGCTCAAAAGTGCCGCTGTTGTCACACTAGGGCCGTGTGCATCCGAAGGTGCACGATAGTGTTCGACCCTCTTATCCATTGCTGGTACAGAACGTTTCTGTTTCGAAAGACTCCCAAGCCATGCGGTGTTTCTAAGCTGTAGAAACTCAGCACGTGCTTCAACTGCATCCAAAAGGGGACTTGTCCTGACCTTTAGTCCAAAGTCAGTGTGCTTCTGTCTCTGAGGTCCGCAACCTCCACGAGTGGGTTACAGAGTATGGGAGGCACATGTGATTGCTAAATTTAAGGTTGATTTTCTTGTGAGGCCCAATTTAGTTCAGGCCCGATCTAATACCGCTTTTGAACTTGCATGGGGCAAGCACCGGAGCAGTTGCAGGAACGTCGTCGCGACCAGGGACTGGAAAGACTTTGGAGATGGAAGTGGTGGCCGTGTGCAAAGGCGCACTGGTATGGCATGGCTGGTGCATGGCTGGACGATTGCTTAGATTAGACGCAGCCTAACAGAGCTACCATGTGCTGTGTATGGGGCCTGCTTGAAGAGGCAAAAGTGTCTCTCTCCTCCAGTCGTGGAACTTGCCGGTCTGCATGCAGGTTCATGCAGCTTAAGCGGATGCAGGCAGGCCTCGAGCAGCGGCTGTTGTACAGTCGCCGTGTGGACTTCAGAGCCCTCAGCTCTGGAAACACATGGCCATGCCCCATGCCCCGAACCCTGCCGAGCTTCGAATCTCTTCTATGCAGAACAAGATCCCCAGAGCCCCAGAGCTCAGCCCAAACGATGGTCAGATTGGCTGGGGCGCGGACTTCCAGGATGCTCCAGACACCGTCAAGGAGCCGAAGAGCGCAGCATGAGGGGGATGTTAGCAAACCGAGAACCCTAAATCCCCTAAATCCTAAACCTACTAGGTCTTCAGCTCTTTAATGGAAGACCCTTAAACAAATGTTCCACTCGAGGACCTCTTGAAGAAGGTGGAGGGAGCCAAGGCCTGGCCCTGCCGCAATGGAGACCGTGAGGAAGTCCTTGACGCTGTTTTCAGGTCTTGACACTGGTCTTCGTTGCTGGAGACACCCGCGGCGCCAACACCGTGCCGCAGGCTCAGCTGCGCTCAGCTATTCTCACCATCTCTGGTAAGCTTCTCGCCAACTCTCGCCTTCGCCAACGATCTTTGAACAAGTTTGCAGGTTAAAGCCTGTAACAGTAACATGTCTTCTGCTCCGTTGCCCTTCAAGGCCCGGAAGGCTTTGGACTTCTTCCCTCCGCCGCACCATCGAGACGGCTCAGTTCATCGAGCACCCGATCATGGAAGGCAGGCCATGCAAATCCTGAGGGTGTTCAGGGTTCGAGTTCTATATAATGTAGTTCCATTTCTGGGCTCAGTCTTGGCAAGTTTTCGCTCCTGTTTTAGCTACAGTCATAGTTGTAGTTTTAGTCGTTTAAAGTTAATGAGTTGCTGCAGCAGATTGCGTTGTTGTTGCAGCATGTTCTTTTTGGTTAGCATTGCTCAACACGGCTACCTGCTGGCTGCATGTCCCACCAACGTCGTTGGTGAGGCGCCGATGGCAAGCCTTACTACCAGATGCGCGGGCGACAGTTCAGGCCAGCGGGAAACATTGCTGTTGATCGCGGCGTCTAGAGAAGAGCCCCTTTTTTGTCGTCAGGAACATGGACGAGGTCTATGCCGGGGAATATGATGGGCTCACCGAGGAGGCGAATTACATTTTGCGCGCACGCCCACACACACACTTGCTTGCATGGCTCGCGTCTCAGCATCTTCGAGTGGCAAATAGTGTCAAATCGTGAGCCGTCCCGGCAGGAGATCACAAAACGAGCGCCCAACGTCATTTCTGATCGAAGCTCGGCTTTTCAAGAGGGAGGTGCAGTCCTTGCCGGTGGGGTTGCCAGCCTGCACTCTAAGAAGGCCGATGAGAGTTAGACCACGTTGTTTCAACTCCAAACAGCCCCTGATGTGGCACAGTCACCTGTTCCGATTTTCAACTTGTGGGTTCCACAAGTTGTGGTTTTTGAACATTCCCGGCCACCACAACCTCTTGGAGCCTGCCAGGAAAGCGGGACAAGCTTGGCTTCAGGTATCCTCGTGGGGAATCGTACTACGATGCTTGGCTGCATGTGCAGCCTGGATTCAGGCAGGATCCAGAAGGCGCAAGAAGCACGGCCAAGCCGTGCGAACGCTGCTGGCTCTGCAGTGCAATGCAGTTGTTCTCCGATTGTGGCTTGCAGGGCCTGGCAGGCGTAGTTTGCAAGAAGCACAAGGCAGCTGACAGCTGACGGCACAGAGTCCTAGTCTTCCCAGTCGAAATGTACCGACTTCATCGAAGCTTGCTTCCGTCATTCAAGGACATCATTGCGCGGTGCCGACCTTATACAGTACCTTACAGTACCTTACAGCCTTAGAGCCTTACCAGGGAGCGCTGCGGAGTTGCTGCTCAGGACTCCGTAGCCCTGAATCCTTCTTTTGAGGCTCGAGTCCGTGATGTCGCACCTGGAGCGGATCCAGCAGCCCATCCTCATCATCTCCCATCAGGCCCCGCCTCCGCCTTAGGTTCCTTAGGTGGCTCCTGGGTGGCCCTTGTAGTGGCCATTGTGGCCATCTTCTCTCCTCCAGTGCTGATGTACCTGCGGTGTGCTCAGCGGGTCCGTTTTTGAAGGGTGAGCTCGTCACTTGGGGGCTTTCTCCAAGCTGCTTTGGTTTTGACATAGCTCAAAGTTCGTTGTGCTGCGATGAGGCCTGCCAGTGCGGCATGCAAGTTACGTGAACCCGCTTCGTCAGGCAGTTCTCCGGCTGATGTACGGTTGGCTTATGCACAAGACTCGGGAGGACTCCGTGGAAACACAGGCAGGGGAAGCGTCCGGCTAACCGGCTAACTACCACCGAAGAAGTTCACATTATTCACAAGCCAGGGCAGCAAACAGACATGGCTTAGCTGTTGCTGTGCTGGACCCTTCCTTGTAGAGCAACTTCAAGAAGGCAGTTGTGGGAGTAATGAGTCTGAGGAGGAGTATGCACTGCCTATGGAAGTCGGGTGGCATTACAATGTGCTTTCCGTTACGGAAGCTGTGTGGGAAGTCATCGCTCTTTAAACGCTTTTTTTTGGTGTCGAACATAACGGGACATACCCACAGAGCCAAATTGTGACAGGTATACTATAGCATGCAAGGGCATATGTACATTGTATGTAGTGTATGTATGTACATTGTGTAAGGTTGCATGAAATCTAGCTATGAATGCAAGGTATCCAAGCTTCCAAGACCCCAAGCCTCACAAAAGGCAGCATGGCATGAGCTGCCTGACGTGTGCGGGGTTGAGCTGGATTGGCTTTGATTCAAACTACCCATATGGGCAATTCCCAAAATAGGGGTACCCCTGTTTTGCACCAAACAGAGTAGAATCCTCTTAAAGGGATCCCCAGAAGGGCACCCATTATTGTCGGAAACCCCCCATATACCCATCCTGAAGGAAGCCCTTGATATCTGAGCAACTCCGCAGGTTCCGCAGCACGAAGTGGGGGGCCCGAGGATCTTGATGTTGAACGCAAACCTCGGGTCGGCTCCTGGCAATTCCAGCCTATATAAGCCGTTCGGAGAATCCTCGAAGCTTCAAACCGTTGACCGGCGCCATGAACATGTCCAGGTTCCTGAGGTCACCACAGAAGTGTCCGAGTTGCTGCGATCATCTGTTGTAGCTTGTGTTGTGTGGCGCCACCCAGGTGGTAAGGATTTGCTTCGATGGTCTCGGGGGCCCGCCCGCGGCTGCCCAAGCACAAATGCCAGGAGTTTGCTCCCGGCGGGGATGGGGGATCACGTAGCGCCTGATAGTTTAGTCACTCCAGGGCGCATTTTTCTTTCCAGGTGGAAAGGCGATTTCCTCTCGGGCCGACGCACTTGACCGACGACGGGCAGTCGGATCTCTAAGGAGACCAGTGTGACGTCGAAATCGCTGTCTGCAGAGAGACATCTGATGTACAAGAAAGCACGCAGCAGCCTTTCTCCACACTGCAGGACGTTGAAAGCGATGAGGGGCCAAAGACCTGTTTTACAATCTGGCTGCTGCCAGTACACCAGACCTTGCAGGGTACGAGTGTTGTGTTGGAGCTCGGATTAGCCGTGTTGGATCTCGGATTAGCCGATTAGCAAGTTCACCACGTGAGGCGACACACGGACTCAATCGTAACCCTCACAACTTTTAATGTGTCTGCGGCCCTTCCCGAACAGAGGTGGCAAAAGCACAGATGCCAATGAATCCCTCATCTTTCGTTCAGGCCATTTCAGACCACTCCCGGCCGCTCTTTCCCCAGTGAATGCGAACTCTTAAGGGCGACCGAAGTTTGGGGCACGGGCCACCGCAGGGTGTAGAGAAAGCAGGGCATGCGGAAGCATGATGGTCTTCGATGGCGGGCGGCAGCTAAGAGGCATTGTACGGTGCACATTTAGCCTTGCAGCTTTTGTTTGGTGAAGCTTCGTGAACACGGTGCTGATAAGAGACTGGCCTCCTGCCGCGTCTACTGATTCTATTGTTTACCGTTTAAGTTTCACCAACGGCCGCAGCCTGGCACCAGCTGCCATCTTAGCCACATGTCTAGACTTTTACTTGGAGGATCGGGGGGACTTAGTAAATACGTATTAAAAGTCGGATCACCAGAAATAGGGTTATTCAGGCCCTAAAAGAGCTATCTTGTCGGCCTCGGAGCTCAAATCGTGCGGATTACGGCCTGTTCAAGCTTGCTGGCGCAGGCTGAAGCCTTAATTTTTGTAGGTAGATGTTGGCCCGGTCCGGATGAGTCGATACCTCATCATTGGTGGACGATTCAGTGGACTTGAATGACAAAATGTTTGCAGGAGCTTGTCAGCACGTCATGTGACAGTGGATGCTGGGATGACAGAGCCTGCAGCACCAGCAGCATCATGGGATTGTTTGCAGGGTCCATTCGGTCTTCCATGTTGTGCAACGCGCGGGATCACGATGTCCGTTTGCCCATCCATGAGAATTTGTGTGAAAAATGCACCGGTTATTGTTGGAAACGAGTGCGCGGAGCTGATGGCACCGCTCCGGCAGAAAGCCGCCTTGCCCAAGCTGTGGGAGATGTCTCGCAGTGCTCAGTAGAATCGTCGCAAAATAGGGGTGCACTGATGAATCGAAACCAAAGTCGCTCGCCACAAGTTCTACCATCGTGATGGGGAATCAAAGCCAAACGCCAAAGAGCCTTGCATACCGCGGTTACCATGCCTTAAAGTCAACAAGAATGCGGGTCTGGCCGAGCGGATTGTCTTGCCAATCTGCTGTGATATGGCATGGCTCTCTAGCTGACGACGTGACAATCACGGCCAGGAACTCAAAGCCACGTTGATGTGTCATGCCCGAGAGCCAGGTCTTTTCAATTTCATGGAGTCTTCCACTTGTGCTCTTCCATGTTGAGCAGAAACTTAGGGCTTAAAAGCATTCTTATCTTAAACCTATAAGCATCCTCAAGCCAACTCCGTGCTCCCGAGAGCCATGTGGCCCCGAGCAGCGGTTGCAGCATGGAAGACCTCGAGGTGCGCGTCAGATCCATTTCTGGAGACGTCTTGTCCGAGCTGAAGCTGCAGCAAGCGGCCCCTTGGCTAGCATGTAAAGATGCTAAGAGGCAAGCACTCTTACGTGCACTGTGCTGGGAACAGATTGAGAGGGATATACTCCCCCGATCCATGGCACGCTTACGGAAAAGTTACATTGAAGTCGACAACCATCTTGACGGTGTGTTGTGACACATTGTGTTTCGAGCTTATTTTGCGAGAGTGTGGTGATGTGTCGTGCCACTGGTTTTAAACTTGAGAAGCCAAGGCCACAGTTCGTGACCTGCAGAAGGCAAGCGGCGGGCTTGGGGAGGTCCGAGGTTCTTTTCGCTGCGAAACTGTGCCTGTGCATGCTGCACAGGGCTTGAGAATTCCGACACAAGAAAGTCACAAGAATCTGCGATAGTGGGGCGTGTGTGCCCGATTCTGGATTCTCGACAGAAGGCTTCGGTCAAGCCTCCACACGACAGCTAAGACTTGGACTGAAGACTGTCATGGGGGGCTTCGTGGGTCCCATTTGGGAGATGCCCCTTCTCACGGTGGCTTCTGATACAAAAGGGGTCCTTATGGGGGGAACCGGAGCTTGGAACCAACCCTAAACCCTCAACCCTCAAGCCTCAACCCTTCTTAACCTGAATACTTTTATGACCCCCTCGGAGAGGCCCTGGCCAGCTTTGCAGATCCGGAGTGCCAGCGCATCCTGCTGGGCAGCCGGGAGCTGGCTGTGGAGGCGGTCCTGACATCCCCTTGAAGGTCGCGTAGAAGGGCCCCTTTTTTTGGCAGGGTTTAGGGTCTAGGGTTTAGGGTTTAGGGTTTAGGATTTAGGGTGTACGTTTTAGGGAATGCTGTAAGTATCGGAACCCGAAGTCTAAAAAAGGGACCCGAAGTGTTTTTGCTGCACTGTGTGTCTGATGCCGCTTCAGGCTGCTTGTGCATACAGACAACGTAAGGAAACTAATACGGGGGATACCGTCAAAACCATCGTCGAATTAATTTCGGGGTCCACTTGCGGCCAAGCGATTTCTCCTATCAGGGAGACATAAGCTTTGAGCAAGGCTAGCTTGGCTGAAAATAAACATCTGGTTGTAACTTGCTGACGCCTCATGGACCCATAGAAGCCACTAATACTTTTCATACCAAAGGCTGCCGCTGATTTAACATGTTTAATGGCATGAATACCGGTCCGAAGGCCGTTGCACAACCTTAACACGAATGAAGGGCATCCACCAGTTGAAGATCATTTCCCAATCTTCACCAGTGTCGCCTGCCAAGCCTGGAGTGCACAACTCTTCGGAAGCGAGTTCGTGGGCTTTCCGTTTGGGTGTGTTGGCCTATGTCACTGCCTCGTTCTCACACGCTTTCCCCATTGAAAGCCAAGAGCAAGCGCATCCTTGGCAGGAACGACTCTCAGATGCTTGCTCAGATCAGCCCTTGGCTTCTTGACTTTGAACTGCTGGGGGCTTAGGGCATCCCTTAGGTGTGTTTGCTCAGCTTTTGGGGCTTGGGTGAAAAGTTTTAAAAAGGGGACGGCAATACAGGGTCACACAGAAGCTCGCCTCTGGGCCAAGATGCCGGCCCACTGAGATGCCCTGCCGAGGAGCTATCACTCTGCGTGCTCCCCTGGCCAGCAATCTTCGTGGAGGGGGCTGAGGTGAGCCCAGGCAGCAATTCGAGGCTTGGGTCATCTTGGGCTGTGCAAGCCACATGAAATCTATATACGGGTTGGGATGGTCCCCTTTTACTGACAGTCCTTAATAGGGATGATAGTAGGGGTACCATAATGCCCATTAAGGACTGTTAGGATACGAACAGTCCTTTATAGGGATTTTAATAGGCGGTACGATAATCCCTCTTAAGGACTCTTAGTACAAGGGGGAACATCCCAATCTACGGGGGCCGAGGACAGAAGTTCAGATCGAAGGTGGCGTCGCAGCTGGCCTCGACGAGCAACTGGCCGCAAAGCAGTTTAGGGTTGGACCTCAGGTGGTTTCTCGGATGCCGGGCGGCCCCTCTAAGTCCTCAACAAGACCCTGTGTGCAAGTTGCAAAGACGTCTGCGATCGTCTGCGCCCATCCTGACAAGCTTGACTCCCTGGCCATGAAAAGAGAGACCTGCGCTGTAGTGGGTGAGAGCCTGGCAATGGGTAACCGGGTAACGGGTAACGGGTAACAGTGTCTCGCTGAGGGGAAAAGGTCATAACCGGATCTGAGAACCCAACACTTCCACAACCCGCAACATCGAGTGCTCGACTGTGCGGGCAGTTCGGTCCTGAACAGGAGAGAGCTAAAGTTCGAGTTTGAGTTGCTTTTTTGCGTCGTCGAGTCAGGACGCCTGCCAGCCTGCTGCGCCGAGCTACCGATCAGGGTGGGAACCCGTTCCAGGACCGGTCTCTACTGCAAGTAGATATTAGGGTTTAGGGTTTGGGGTTGACAAAAAGGGTTTAGGGTTTGGGGTTTAGGGTACGGGTAGAAGGCCCTGCTTTCAGGTGTTGCCGGCAGCCTCAGTCCGTGCTTAAAGGGTACGGGTTTCAATCTCAAACGCTCCGAGCGCTGGGCCTCCGGATGTCGTTGGGAGAAGGGAGCCGTTTGGCTCGGAGACCTTCGGGATGTTTCAGATGTTTCAGGCCGATATTATGGAGCTCTTGGTTGGGGATTGCCGTGCAGTAATGGCACTCCTGTAATATGTGACTCCCCAAGTTTTGAGCATTTTGGAAGGCGAACCTGCACCGTCGCAGATGTCGAGTGGGGGCCTTCGTAGGGAGGCCTTACAAGGTAGTCACAGATGATGGGTCTAAATTAATTTGGGTTCAGGTTTCTGTTATGGCATACCACGCGCCTGCCAGATGTTGGGAGGGCTCAGGTTCTCACAGCTCGTGGTCCGAAGCAGGGAGACGCAAATGACAGACGTTGATGGTGTAATTAGTAATGCTTACCTTCCGGAGTGGAAAAGTGGCGGCTGGAAACTCAACAACGCTGATTTCAGTATCTGCTTATGCCTAATGCTGTTCGAGGATGTTTGTGCTCTTTAAAAAGTCAGTAGACTGTGATTTTGGGATGCTGTGCGCTACGGCTCCCCCACTTTGGGGGTGACGTAGCCTGCTCATATAGGGCGACTTGGTCTTTTACAGGTCCTTATTTGAGTTCTAGCTTGGGGTGATTTGGGGTCGCAGCCGTGCAAGAATTTCATGCAGCTTAGAAGCACAGGGCCTAGACCCGGACCCAACAGCAAGAGCGAAGGTCGGATGATCACGCATCTCCACACAAATCCGTTGTGAGCTGGACTGGACGGAAGCTAAAGTTGCCGCGTGAGCCATTCGTCATTGGGTGCAACGCGCAGGATTTGGAAGCTCTGTGGTGGGGCTC